AGGGGAGGGGGGGAGGGGGGGAGGGGGGGGGGAGGGGAGGAGGCTGAGGTGGGGAAGGGCGGGCAGGGGACGAGGGCGAGAGAGTTTGCGAGGCGTGGTGCACGGGAGGGAGGACGGGAGGGTCAGAGAGAGGAGGAGGGGTGTGTGGCGAGGGGTGTTTGGGGAGAGGGGTGTCTGGGGAGAGGGAGGAGGGGGAGGAGGGGGAGGAGGGAGGCGCGTGTGCGGTTCCGTCTCGAGGATCCGTCTCGTGGCTTCGTCTCGGGGAGGCGTCGTCTCGGCGGGGCTGTTGTCTGTGGGTGAGGCTCCGCGGCTCTGCGCCCGCAAAAGTCTGAGGCCAAATCGTCGGGCGCCTACACGGCACGGCGGGCGACGGGTGAGGGCCGTGCGGACAGCCTGTGCCGACACGCGCTCCGCTGCGGCTACCGCGGGCGGCGCTGCATCCGACGCGTAGCCACGCCGCACCGACCTGCGCGCGCCCGTCCTCTCGTTTCGCTGCTCGGCATACGCGCCGTTGAAGTTTTGGATGACGTACTTGGTCAGACCGATGATGATCTCCACACGGCCCATCGTCGCCCTCGACGCCTGCTCGATCGCCTCCGAGTGCTCCGGCGCGAACGAGTGCCAGTTGAGGTCCATTGCAGACGCGAGCGCGCTCGGGGGGAGATCGAGCCACTGCCAGGCAACCGGCCGCTCCTGGGGCGCGGCCTCGATCTTGACATCCACCACGTACGAGGGCGGCTCGTTCGTCGGCGCGTCGAGCCGAAACGTCTTGCTGCTCGCCCAGTAATGCAGCCGCACCACGCTGCCCACCTCGAAGCGATGGGACGCGGCGGTGAATGGGTCGCAGGGGGATTATGGAGGAGGTTGAGCAGTCACCTCGCCGCGAAGGACGGAACGGAACCCCGACGGCTTGGAGCCGACCGCGGGCGTCCGCTGGAAGCAATGGGGCTCAGAAAAGTGCACCGTCGCGTCAAAGCAGGCGGGGAGGTGGATCGACGCCTCGTTCGCCTGATAGGCGGCCTCGATGGCGTCCTGCTCGGTGAACGGACACCACGCACCCGTGTTGCGCTCGAAGGAGCCCCAGCAGATTTCTTCGCGGGAGTAGGGTCTGCCCGAGCCGCCGGAGCGAACCATATTAGCGAGAGCGCCGAGAGCGCGCTCGAGGAGCACAGCGGTGGCGTACCCTCGCACAACACTGGGCACGGGAACTGTGGCGCACTGGCAAAGACGCTCGGTTCCGAGCAGCCCCCCCCACGTTGGACTTTTTCACAGCTGGCTGGCGACTCGCACGCTTGCCATGCGCGCGGACCACGCTTGCGTGGATACGTGGCTAGCAGGCTGACCCGTGTGCGGGGTAAAATACGACGCGGTACGACAAGAGAGGGGAACGCCTGGTCGGTGCTCAGCCACCGCAAAATGGTGGGCGAGATCCGTTGCGGAGCGCTGCCCTCCCGCTCCTGCTCCACCCGCCGCCGCCGTGATCCGCTAGGTGAAGCTACACTATATGCAGAACGAGGGGGCGAAGCCGCGCGGGGGGCGAGGGGCGAGGCCGGGTGGGGAAGAAGCGCTCGGCGGTCGGGGCGCTGGTGGGCTCCGCGGTGGGCAGGCAGGGCACGTACTACGTTGGTGGGGCAACGCTACACGGCGTTGATATGAACGCGAGCGCGCGGTGATGACGCCCCCCACAGCAAATCGGTTCGTCTCCTTTTGGGTGGCGCTCTCGATACGGTTGCGTCAACCTCGACGTCGCTGTCGCCCTCCCCGTCCCCGTCCCCGCCGTCGCCCGTGCCTCGGTTCGCGTCATCGGTAGCGTTTCCGTTGCCCCCTCGTGCTCCGCCGTCGTCGCTCTCTCTGCTCGGGCCGTTCGCGATTTCGCTCCTCCTGCGTGTCGCCCCTCCGTCTCCTCCCCTGCCTTCGTCGTCATCGTCGCTGTCGCGAAAGCCCTCCGGCCCCTCGATTCCCTCGCCTATCCCCTCCGCTGCGTCGTCCCAGTTTATATCCTCATCCTCTGCGCATGTCGCCGCTCCCTTTCCATCTCCATCGTTGTCGCCTCCGTCGACTGCGGCGCTGCCTCTTCCCTCGCCTCCGTCCTCCTCGTCTCGCCTGCCATCGTCCCGTGACTCCTCGTCCTCGCCATCGCCTTGGTCGTTGTCTATTTGTTCATCGTGTCCCCTGCTGCTGGTGGCATCGCCGTTGGCTTCCTCTCTCCTCCTTTCCTCCCTGCCCCTCTCGCTGTCTGGTGTTAATGGACCCCCTTCCCCTCCGCTCCCTCGCCACCGTCACCGTCACCATCCCCGTCGCTACCGCCCTCCATCCCCGCCGCCCTTTGTTTCACACTCGTCTCTGCCATGTCCGCCGTCGCCGCCGTCCTGTCTGCTGCAGCCTGCGCTCTGTGCTCCGTGATACAGTCGCTTATTGTTGCTCAGGATTAGCTCACGCACCAGGGCAGCCTCTGGCTCGTTATTTTGGCTTGCCGATATGCATCCAAAGTTCCACGCTAGCTCCTCCTTCGTCACGTCTATCTTTTTGCAGTATCTCGCAAATGCCGTCCGAGCTTGCTGGGGTGTTATTGCGTTCGGATCCGCCTTGTATCTCATCGCCTTGCGGTTGCTCCTGTATGAGTCCCCATATGACCATGTGATTTCTTGGCCTTCCTTGACTCCTTTCTCTGCGAATAGGACCATCACCTGCGCAGCTGCCTTGCCTAATTGTACCTCCTCGTAGCGAACGAAGTGCGTCGCCCGCGTGCCTTGCTTCGGCTCGTTCGATGCTGCTGACACCTCAGCAACAGGTGCCGGTGCAGCTGCAGTTGAAACGGATATGCTAGAGGGGCCTACCTTCGCCCCTACCACCGTGCCGCCCGTCGTTAGCATGGCCGTCGTTACTTCGCCGCCGCCTCTGCTGCTTGTCGGCGGAGCGCCTCGCGCCTTCCCTCGTCTCCATGCTCTTGGTCTTGTTCTTTTTGTTTTCCTGCGCTTCCTGTCGCTGGGCCGGCGACGTATCTTGGTTCTTGCCGTCTGCCGGAGCGTCCTGCCGGGCCGCGTATTTCCTTCCCCTCGTGACATGCCCACACACGACACATCTCACATGAGACGTTGTCCGAATATCCATGAATAGACAGTGGTAAAAGACTGAGTGAAAACAACAGCACATTAACCTTCTCTCTCGTCCCATGACGTCATCTCCTCATCTTCATGTGCCTTACACGCACCGCCCCTGGTCGCAATACCCAATAGACAGAGTCGGAGATAACCAAGCGCACAAAACTGCCGTGCTGCGACGGTCTCCATTCATTGAAGGAGGGGTTCAGGGAGCACGGGCTCACGAGAAGCCGCCCAGCGAGACGGGGAGCGGCTTGGGCTCGAAGATGCGGCTGAGTGCCGCCGCCTGGTCCGGGTCGGTCTGCGGCTGGATGAGGTAGCCAAGGCCCTTGCCCGCGTGCAGGAGGGCGGGGTGGAGGCGGAAGTAGGCGCGAGCGACGAGCTTGCCTGCTCGGCAACGACTTTAATCAGCGGTGGGGCACACTTATTCAGCGGGCGCGCGAGGTGGAGCGCTCGCCAAGAGCAAAGAGGAGCTTTGCTCGGCGAGGCATGGAGCCGCAAAAGTAGATGCCGCCCACGTGCGCCTGCCAGACGAGGAGGCGAAGCTCAGCCGCCATTCCCTCGGCCCCTTCCGAGCAGCTGCCGAACACGTGCCTGGTAGCCCGCTAGCGTCGCGGCGTCCCGCATGCCGGGCATCATCCGCGCTACCCACTGCAGCGGCATCCCCTGCCGCGAGGTGGTGAAGGTGGAGTCGACGATCATGTAGATTGCTCCGTCGATGTTGCCAGCCGCCTCGTCTCGGTCCGCGAGCGTCTCGAGCAGGTACACCAACTTGTGCAGCCAGAACTGGCGCACCGCCTCCGGACTCAGGCACTTGAGCGCCAGCTCGTAGTCGCAGTCCTCGATCGCCACGACGACCACTCCGGCGCTCGTCCTTGCAATGTATCGTGGGAGCAGCCGCATGATCGCCTCGCCGTGCGGCCACTCCTCCGGCGCCGGGTGCGCGCGCACGAAGGCAGCAATCGCGTCGTAACCGACCTCCCTCCGCAGCGCCAGCGAAGCCTCGCACCGGCGGAGCGCCGTCTGCAGGTCCCAATCGCAGCTCGACAGCATGCGCAGCAGCCAGCTATCGCGGGCCGCGGCGCCGTCGGCTCCGAGGCGATCTCGCAGCCAGGCGAGCTCGGCCGCGTGCTCTGCTGCGAGCTTAGACGTCGGGCCGAGCGGGGTGGGCAGCGCAAAGGTGGCGCTCGGCTGAGTGGGAGAATTCAGGAGGGAGAGCAGAGTGTCGCTGACAGCGCGGGCTACGGCGAGCGGGAGCGCAAGCGCAAAACAAGCAGCAGAGGAGAGGGTTGTGAGCATTGGCCGGAGGGAGCCGGCCGCGGGAGCGTCGAGGTGGAGGACTTCTAGCGGGAAGGAGCAGTGGTCGAGCCGGGCGCCACTTCCTTTGCCAGAAGAATTCTACCAAAAGCCCCTCTCACAGCAGACTGGCACGAACTAGCACCATAAAAGGCACAGCAGACAACGGCCCCTTATGGGCCGTCGAAGAGGCCGTCATACTCCTCCGGCCTCGCCCCCCCTTCCCAACCCTCCCCTGGCTCAGGCTCCTCATCCTCGCGGCGCGCAGTGCGCACCCCGCCCCCGCGAAGACGAACCCTTCCGCCGGCGTGCCTCGCGGGACTGCCGCCCGCTGCCGCCGCCCTTCCCCCCCTCCGCCGCCCGCGCCTTCTCCGCCGCCCGTGCGGCCTCCTCCACCTCCTCCGCCGCCAACAGCGCCTCCCTCCGCGTGACCCCTATGGGCCCCTGGCTGCGCGGCATTCGCGCGCAAGCAATCCACCGTCCACTTTCGCGCCCGCCCTCCCCCGCTTCAGCCTGCTTTTGCTTGCGCCCGTTCAGGAACTCTTCACCGAGGCGAACGGCGTCATGGACTGGGTGGGCGATTTCTGGCCGAACGCGGACGGCAGGTTCAATGGGGTGGACGACGGCCCGGGCGCCAATCGTATGGACTGGCTGCCCCACTGGGGCCCGGAGCGGCCGGGCGACGAGTACCTCACGGACAAGCTCACGCGGCACACCGTCGACTTCATCAAGAAGTACAAGGCCTCCCGGCTCTTCACCCATCCCTCGCCGGCTAACAGTGAAGGGCGTCTTGACCGTGTCTGCCGTGACCAGGCCGTTCCCTTCTTCATCTATCTCGCGTACAACGCGCCGCACAACCCGTGGCAGGCCAAGCTCAGCGATCGCAACGAAACTATCGCGCGGCTGTGGAACGAGCCAAAGGCCATCTACGCGGCTATGGTGAAGGCGGTCGACGATGGCATCGGGCGGGTGCTCGACACCCTACAGTCCTCGCGGCTCGATTCCAGGACGCTCGTCGCATTCGTCTCGGATAACGGCCCCGACGGGGGCGGGCGGGCGCAGCCGGGCTGGAAGCTCTACAGCGCTCTACAGCGCTCTACAGCTCTACAGCTCTACAACTCTACAGCGCTCTACACTCTACATCCTCTACACCCTCCCTCAGCGTGTGCCGGGGTAAAGCATCCCGGCGGCCTCGTCGGTGCCAAGGCGTTGGTTCGGTCCCGGCAGGAGGCTCCATGTCGGTGTGAATCCACCGGCCAGGAGCGGAAGCACCAGAGAGAAGACAAAAGGCAACATGTAGCAGTGCTCTCTCTCTCTGGACGGGGGTACAACGAGGGGGAAACCCGCACCACACAAGACGCCAAGCACAAAAGAATAACAAGAGCATGTACTCAGGCAGTCTCAAGCGGATGAGTCAGAAATACAAAGAGCATCTAAAGGAGCAAGGCATACAGCTGTGAAGTGGTCTCTAAAAGAATTTAAAAGAAGTCTCAGAAAAATATTTATAGAGGTGCGCATTTCCATGCGCGGCGTGCATCCTCCTGTCTCTCGACCCAACCGCGGCCTGCAGCAGTTTGCCGCGCGGGCGAGCGGTCACGGCGGCGCCGAACGCGGTACCGCCGACGGTGAGCTCGCCTCGGCCCATGCCCGCTCGCAGTCCGAGGACGCCGCGCTGCTCGCGCCAGTGGAGGGTTTGAGCTTGCATCTCTCACGCAGCAGCAACACCGGCTACGAGGGCGTGACCCTTGACGCCTCTGGCCGCTTCTGGGCGATGAGCAACAAGGACGGGACGACGTCCGACTTGGGCTACTTTGATACGGCGGTCGAGGCGGCAGTCGCCTACGCGCGGGAGGCGGGGAAGGCGGCGGCGGCGGTGGAGGCTGCAGTACCCGCGGCCGTGGCGGCGGCGGAGGAGGCTGCAATACCCGCGGCGGAGGCGGCGGCAGCAGAGACCGACGAGCGCAGGCTCTCCTCCGAGGCCGTCGAGGCGGGCGGGAGCGGATCTGCCAGCACGGCCGCGCCGCAGACGGCCAAAGACGAGCTCGGCTCGGCCCCGAGCTCGGCCGGGGGAGCGGCATTTGACGCGCTGCAGCAGCCGCGGCGCGTCGCGGCGGCGGACGAGCGGGTTTGCTGGGTCTCGCCTGCGGGGGGGCGGCAGCAGGACTTCGAGTTCGCTATTCAAGGTCAGATGGTGCGCGCCGCCTTGAGCGGCCAGCTCTTCGGGCCGCTGCTCGCGGGCGGCGCCTCGGCCTTCTCTCTCAACCAGCAGGACGCGGGGTGGAATCCCCTGACGATCGCCACCGGATTGCGCGACACCAACACGGTCCAGGCGCTGCTGGAGCGCGGCGCAGAGGTCCACCACCTCGCCGAGGCCAAGGTGATGGGTGACCGCACCGCGCTGATGATTGCCTCCATGAACGGCGACGTGCGGGCGATCGACTTGCTGGTGGAGCACCGCGCCGAGGTTGACCAGCAGAACGGCAGCGGCTGCACCGCGCTGTTGATTGCCGCCCGGAACTCGTTAATTGGGACACCGGCGGTCGTCGCGCTGCTCGGGCACGGCGCGGCGATCAATCACGAGAGCTGCGACGGCCGCACCGCGCTGATGGAGGCTGCCAAAGGCAGCTTTACGACGGTCGAGGCGCTGTTGCTGCACAGCGCGGCGGTCGACCATCGGTGCGGTGACGGCTGCACCGCGCTGATGTATGCCGCCATGTCGGGCCCCACGCACAACGTCCTCGCGCTGATTGAGGCGGGCGCGAATCTCGACCATCGGAACAGTGTCGGCCGCACCGCGCTGATGGAGGCTGCCAGTGTGGGCGGCGAGCGGGCGGGGCGGGCGGTCGACGCGCTGCTGAAGAAGGGCGCCGACGCCAACGCTGAGGACGTCAACGGCTGCAGCGCGCTACGGCTGGCTCGCGACGCGGGCCACGCCGCGATCGTGCGCCTCCTCGAGCAGCACGCCGTCCATCATGCCGAGCCGCCA